CCTAGCACACCGAAATGCTTCAAGCAATGTAGCAGGGTACAAAATCAACTTAACAAAAATCAGTAGGCCTTTCTATACATCACAATGAACAATTTTTCTTTTTGTTTTTTCATTTTTCTTTTATTATTCATATGTGCATACAAGGCTTGGTTCATTCTCCCCCCTGCCCCCACCCCCTCCCTTACCACCCACTCCACCCCCTCCCTCCCCCCTCAATACCCAGCAGAAACTATTTTGCCCTTATCTAATTTTGTTGTAGAGAGAGTATAAGCAATAATAGGAAGGAACAAGGGTTTTTGCTGGTTGAGATAAGGATAGCTATACAGGGCATTGACTCACATTGATTTCCTGTGCGTGGGTGTTACCTTCTAGGTTAATTCTTTTTGATCTAACCTTTTCTCTAGTTCCTGGTCCCCTTTTCCTATTGGCCTCAGTTGCTTTAAGGTATCTGCTTTAGTTTCTCTGCGTTAAGGGCAACAAATGCTAGCTAGTTTTTTAGGTGTCTTACCTATCCTCACCCCTCCCTTGTGTGCTCTCGCTTTTATCATGTGCTCAAGTCCAATCCCCTTGTTGTGTTTGCCCTTGATCTAATGTCCACATATGAGGGAGAACATACGATTTTTGGTCTTTTGGCCAGGCTAACCTCACTCAGAATGATGTTCTCCAATTCCATCCATTTACCAGCGAATGATAACATTTCGTTCTTCTTCATGGCTGCATAAAATTCCATTGTGTATAGATACCACATTTTCTTAATCCATTCGTCAGTGGGGGCATCTTGGCTGTTTCCATAACTTGGCTATTGTGAATAGTGCCGCAATAAACATGGATGTGCAGGTGCCTCTGGAGTAACAGTCTTTTGGGTATATCCCCAAGAGTGGTATTGCTGGATCAAATGGTAGATCGATGTCCAGCTTTTTAAGTAGCCTCCAAATTTTTTTCCAGAGTGGTTGTACTAGTCTACATTCCCACCAACAGTGTAAGAGGGTTCCTTTTTCCCCGCATCCTCGCCAACACCTGTTGTTGGTGGTGTTGCTGATGATGGCTATTCTAACAGGGGTGAGGTGGAATCTTAGTGTGGTTTTAATTTGCATTTCCTTTATTGCTAGAGATGGTGAGCATTTTTTCATGTGTTTTCTGGCCATTTGAATTTCTTCTTTTGAGAAAGTTCTGTTTAGTTCACTGCCCATTTCTTTATTGGTTCATTAGTTTTGGGAGAATTTAGTTTTTTAAGTTCCCTGTATATTCTGGTTATCAGTCCTTTGTCTGATGTATAGTTGGCAAATATTTTCTCCCACTCTGTGGGTGTTCTCTTCAGTTTAGAGACCATTTCTTTTGATGAACAGAAGCTTTTTAGTTTTATGAGGTCCCATTTATCTATGCTATCTCTTAGTTGCTGTGCTGCTGGGGTTTCATTGAGAAAGTTCTTACCTATACCTACTAACTCCAGAGTATTTCCTACTCTTTCTGTATCAACTTAAGAGTTTGGGGTCTGATATTAAGATCCTTGATCCATTTTGAGTTAATCTTGGTATAGGGTGATATACATGGATCTAGTTTCAGTTTTTTGCAGACTGCTAACCAGTTTTCCCAGCAGTTTTTGTTGAAGAGGCTGCTATTTCTCCATCGTATATTTTTAGCTCCTTTGTCAAAGATAAGTTGCTTATAGTTGTGTGGCTTCATATCTGGATCCTCTATTCTGTTCCACTGGTCTTCATGTCTGTTTTTGTGCCAGTACCATGCTGTTTTTATTTTTATTGCTTTGTAATATAGTTTGAAGTCAGGTATTGTGATACCTCCTGCATTGTTCTTTTGACTGAGTATTGCCTTGGCTATTCGTGGCCTCTTGTGTTTCCATATAAATTTAACAGTAGATTTTTCAATCTCTTTGATGAATGTCATTGGGATTTTGATGGGAATTGCATTAAACATGTAGATTACTTTTGGGAGTATAGACATTTTTACTATGTTGATTCTACCAATCCATGAGCATGGGAGATCTTTCCACTTTCTATAGTCTTCCTCAGTCTCTTTCTTCAGAAGTGTATAGTTTTCCTTGTAGAGGTCTTTCACATCTTTTGTTAGGTTTACACCTAGGTATTTGATTTTTTTTGAGGCTATTATAAATGGAAAAACAATTCCATTTAAAATATCAAAAAAATCAAATACCTAGGAATGAACTTAACAAAGGATATAAATGACCTCTACAAGGAGAACTATAAACCACTGAAGAAAGAGATCGAGGAAGACTACAGAAGGTAGAAAGATCTCCCATGCTCTTGGACTGGTAGAATCAACATAGTGAAAATGACTATACTACTAAAAGCAATCTACATGTTCAGTGCAATTCCCATCAAAATCCCAAAGACATTCATCACAGAGATTGAAAAATCTACCCTAAAGTTCATCTGGAACACAAAACACTGCGTATAGCCAAGGCAATACTGAGTAAAAAGAGCAATACCCAACTTCAAAGGTATTGTCTTTGAAGTTTTATTGCTTTTATTGCTATATTACAAAGCTATAGCAATAAAAACAGCATGGTACTGGCACAAAAACAGGTATAAAGACCAGTGGAACAGAATAGAGCACCTGGATATGAATCTGCAGAGCTATGCCCACCTTATTTTTGACAAAGGCACAAAAAAACATAACGATGGAGAAAAGATATCCTCTTCAACAAATGTTGCTGGGAAAAGTGGTTATCTGCCTGTGAAAAACTGAAAACTGGATCCATGCCCGTCACCCTGTACTAGTATCAATTCAAAATGTTTTAAGGACCTTAATATCAGACCTGAAACCTTGTAGTTAGTACATGAAAGATCAGGGAATACCCTGGAAGCAATAGGTATAGACAAGGACTTTCTCAGTAGAATCTAGCAGCCCAGCAAAAAGAGAAAGGATGACCAAATGGGACTACATGAAACTAAAAAGCTTCTGCACATTTCTTTTGTTATGCACCACAGAGACCACCCACAGAGTGGGAGAAAATATTTGCTAGCTATATGTCAGACAAAGGATTGATAACCAAAATATACAGAGAGCCCAAAAAACTAAACTCCCCACAAATTAATGAACTAATAAAGAAGTGGGCAACTGAACTAAACAGAACTTTTTCAAAGGAAGAAATCCAAATGGCCAAAAAACACACAAATGCTCACCATCCCTGGCCATAAAGGAAATGCAAAATAAAACCACTCTAAGATTCTACTTCACTCTTGTTAGAATAACTAGCATCAAGAACACCACAAAAAAATGTTGGCAAGGATGTGGGAGAAAAAGGAACCCTCATACATTGCTGGTGGGAATGTAAGCTAGTACAACCACTTTGAAAAACAATATGGAGGCTTGTTTAAAAACTAAACATAGATATGCCATATGATCCAGAAATACCACTCCTAGGGATATACCCAAAAGAATGCAACTCAGGTTACTCCACAGACACCTGCACACCCATGTTTATTGCACAATAGCCAAGCTATGGAAACAGTCAAGATGCCCCACAACTGATGAATGGATCAAGAAAATGTAGCATTTATACACAATGGAATTTTACACAGCCACAAAGAAGTATGAAATTATGTCATTCACAAGTAAACAGGTGGAACTGGAGAACATCATCTTAAGCAAAGTTAGCCAGGCTCAGAAGGCCAAAAATTCATGTTTTCCCTCATATGCAGATTATAGACCCAAAACAAATGCAGTAATGTTATTGGACATGGGTCACACACTAAGGGGAGAACATGCACAGGAGGAATAGGGAAAGGGAAGGAAAGCTAAAACTCGAATGTGATTGATGTGCTCACTGTAGAGGAGTGAATATAGTAATCTTAAACTGGCAGAGGCCACTATGGGAAGGGGACCGGGAAGTAGTGAAGAGGTCCAGCAGAGATGAACCAATTTGGGTTGTAATACACAAGTACATGGAAGCAAAGCTAGGAGTCTCTCTGTATAGCTATCTTTATCTCAAGCTAGCAAAAATGCTGTATCTTTCTTATTATCTCTTATGTTTCTCTACAACAAAATAGGAAAAGAGGGCAGAACAGGTTCTGCCCAGGAATGGGGGAGGGGGAGGGCATGAGGAGGGGGTGGTGGCCCAAACAATGTATACACATGTAAGTAAATGTAAAAATGATAAAATAAAAATAAAAAAAAATGGGAATAAGTCTTAGCAAAAAAAAAAAAAAAAAAGGGAAGAGTGGCAAAGAATTTGTAGCTATGTTTAATTCACTGTGCCTCTTTGAGATTCCAGTGCATAAAAGTGTATCAAACATGTCTGAGAATCCCTTCACTGAAAAGTCTGTTTACCTTGGCATTTCCCAAGCTGATTATTATTGCTATTTTTAAAATCAGGAAATACCTTTCTTACAGAAAATCACTTAACTTATATTCTGCCAGAGAGCAGTGGGCAGAATCGAAGGGTGATAGATTGGAAGCTCTATACTGTTGTCTAATAAATAACACTTTCCAAAGGTGGAATTTGGAAATTGATAGTGAGTCCTTGATTTGAAGAAGTACAAATGGAGGTAGCATGGCCATTTGAATGGATGGAGAAGATGAATGTCCTAGAGGTTAAGACTTTCATTTTATTTCTGGCCGATCTGGGTTCAAATTCAGCTACCATCCCTTATAGCTGTGTGACATTGGGCTGGTTACCTCTCTCTGGGCTTCAGATTCCTTATCTACAGAACAAATACTTTCTATTTCACAAAGTGGTTGTGATGACCAATGACATCTTGCATGTGGATGGATCACTTGGCACAGAGCCTGTCTGTAGTCAGAAATATTAGACATGACTTCTTAGGATGTATAGAGGAAGTCCTCCTTGGTTAGAATTTGTGTCTGCATGGTTTGGTTCCCTTCACCTCTAGGGTTTTATAACTTTAGGTTTATTTGAGATTTGCTTGCCAAGAACAAGCTGATTCTGTAAGACATGGACTTTCTCCAACTTTTCTTGCAAAAGTAACCTTTGTGCCCTTTCATTTTTTTCTCCAATCTAGTTTCTGATAAGTGACCGTGACCCCCAGTGCAACATCCACTGTTCCAGGACCCAACCCAAACCCATCTGTGCCTCTGACGGCAGGTCCTATGAGTCTATGTGTGAGTACCAGCGAGCCAAGTGCCGAGACCCGACCCTAGGTGTGGTCCATCGAGGTAAATGCAAAGGTGAGTGTGAATCTGTGCCCAGCCCAGGAGAGGCTACTGAGACTGCAGCCCCTGCACTGTGCAGTTGCCACGGGGGTCTTGAATGTGTTTGGTCATTTGGTTTGCTGTCCTGTCTCTCCACTCCATTCACCAGGTTGTAAGGGAAGGAGGACTGCTCTACCTGAGGGAATGAACACTTTCCTGTCCTTCAGTCACTGTCACCAGGCTCGGGTCTTAGAGAGCTGTGCTGTTTTCTGGCTAGGGTTTTGATGTTTGCTTTTGGTTTTGTTTTAATATGGAGTTACAAAGTATTATTGCTGGCCCCTGAACAGGACTCCAAATTGTTGACCAACAGGGACTCCAAATTGTTGATATGTTTTGCTTGATCTGCTCTAAAACATCAAGAACATTTGAGACAACATTTAAAAATTGGGGGATTTGATGTAAAAATCTCCCTTTTTGTGCTTCTCTTCCAAAATCAGAAGTTTTGGCAATACTAGATTTGTGTTCTCTCAAGGCAACATGTGGGTAGAGCAGAGGAGCCTGTTCTCCAGTTTGCCACAGTCCTCAGTGCTCCCTGTGGCCTCTCAGAACTGAATGCTATGCTTCTCATACTCAACTTATACCACTTTCCTGTGTCCTATACGTATTTGAGTTTGTAACCCTGGGTTTCTGAAAGCCATCATTAGAATTAGGGAAGGCTAAGCAGACTTTCCCAGAGCTTGTGATTTTCTAAAGAAAGTGCTAGTAACAGTTTTTTAAAAACATCTTTGAGATCCTTTGGGCTTACTAGTTTTAGAATAAACCTGGGAAAAATAATGGAAATGGAACACTTTTTTCCTGGGTGAAAATAGAGGTATTTGGGAGAAAAAATATGGGGAACCTTGTATAAACATGACCCTCTCCCCCATTTTTCTAAGAATAACATAAAGAGGAAGATGTGGATGAGCCAGCTGTCGCTAGCCACTGCCTTTGTATTGGGAGACATGATGGTTGTTTTTGGGTGCTCCCACAGGTAGAGGGATTTCTCTTAGTGTTCCTGCCACCAGGGAGCCATTTTGTGCCATGGTTTTAGTATAGAATCCAAGTGAAACACAGAATATTCTTCTGTCTCCTTTTAGATGCTGGCCAGAGCAAGTGTCGCCTGGAGCGGGCTCAAGCCCTGGAGCAGGCCAAGAAGCCTCAGGAAGCTGTGTTTGTCCCAGAATGTGGCGAAGATGGCTCCTTTACCCAGGTGAGGCCTTGGACAGTTCTCTTTGGCCACTGTCTGGACCGAGGGAAAGGAGGGAAGGTGTCCCGAGAACATGAAAGTCACCTTTACTTTCTGGGAAACAACTCAGTGAGCGGCTCTTCACTTCCCTCTGCACTGTCTCCCCTCCTGGGCCCTCCATGCCACTCCTTGCCAATTGGCAATGGGCCCTGACAAGATGCATGGAAGTCTGAGCCAGGAAATTGGCATGCCTTAGTCCTCATCCTCCCTGCTGGCCGTTTTCTCTGAGGGCCAGACCTGCATTTTTCTCTTATGTCAAATGTGGGCTGATTATTTTTTCTTATCCCTGCCAGTTTCCATGGGCAACCTCAGGAGTCCCATCACTGCTTTGCACTCCCCTGTTTTCTATCCCTGTGCTTGAATGAAGCAGAGCCCTCTTTGAGCACAAAGGGTACCATGGCTCTGGAGTGAGTGTGCACATGGGTGTGCACACACTTGGATTTTAAAATCTCTTTTCAGGCAGTCCCACCCCTCACCCCACATGGTCTTCTGGCTAGTGCTTTGTGTAAAAGCACTGCTGACTGCGTTGATGTTGGCAAATACTAGTTGTGAAACATAGCAGCACTGGGACAATAAGATGCTTCTTCAGGAAGCTTCTGGGCTGCCTCCTCCTGCATAGGGGCTTGTAGCTGGGAGGTGGGAGGCATCCGTGAGAGATGGATATGTGCCAGCTGGATGGAGGGGCTGTCTTGATGAGCATGGGGAAGGTCACTGGACAGGGTGAGTTCAGCCGAGTTGGGGATGGTCCTGGTGCCTGCAACAACCTGTATCCGATAAAGCAGCATTTGAGAGAACCCACTGTGTCAAAGCTGGGGACTTAGAGGTTTAAAAGTTTCCCTATAATCCTGGATCAATGGGCTAAGGGTATAGACTAGCCTCTGCTCAGAGGGGCTTCATGTTTCATTTCTGGGCTGGGCATGGGAGATTATTGATTTCAGACTGACTCTCTATTGGGGTAGAATACTGCAGGAATGGTGGGAGGGGAGTGAACACCAGCATTTTAAAGTTTTCCCACTCTATTCAAATATGCAACCAGGCTTGAGCACTGGGATAAGCTGCCTCAACCAGCAGCCCTGGGTGAGGTACTTTTATTGATTTCTTGTTCAAACCTAACTACAGCCTGGGAGGTAAGGTCATTATCTCTGTTTATGGATGATGCATCATAGCAGGGGTGGTGTGGAGAGCTGAGTTTAAGCCCAGAGCCCGCCAACCAGAGTCCCCGTGCTCTGCTGCTCTCTGAACTGGCAGCTTCAGAGGAGGTTCTGAGGTGTGTGCTGGAAAGAGACCGTCTGGGGTCTGCAGCCAGAATTCCTGGGCACGAGGCCAGCCCCACCACCTGAGGCAGTCACTGAGCTTCATGGGGTCATGGTTTATGTATCTGAAAAATGGAGCCGATTATCTCCATTACTGTTGTATGTTGTACATATGTTATGCACTGTCATCAACATTACGTCATATGCATTATGAATTACTATTAAGTTATATGTTACAGATGAGTATTGTTTTTCTATTATTCTGTTACTGATGATTATTCTAACTTCTCTCATAGGGTTGTGATAAGGATTGGATGAGTTAACACATGTAAAACACTGGGAACATATGAATGCCATATAAATATTTGTAATTATCATCATGATGATTCCCATCTCTACTGTGGTTCTACTGCTCAGATCTCCATAAGATTTTTATGGATGATACCACGTAAGGGAAAAAAAAAAACCACAAAATCTTTCATTGAAACTTACCAACTTTGGAAATTGATAAACTCTCATCAATTTTTTTAAGTTACCATTCATTCTAGTAAAAAGAATTCATGTTGACCAGGTGTGGTGGCTCACACCTTTGAATCCCAGCTACTTGGTAGCCAGAGATCTGAGAGGGTCATTGTTGGAGGCCAGCCTGGGCAAAATGTTAATAAGACCGATTTCAATCAATAAGCCAGGTGAGGGGGCTGGTGAAGTGGCTCAAGTGGTAGAGTGCCTGCCTAGCAAGTGTGGGGCCCTGAGTTCAAACCCCATATGATGATATGAGCCTATGATCCCAACTATGCAGGATGCTGCATGTAGGAGGATCATGGTCTGAGGTCAGCCACAGGCCAAAATTTAAGACCTGACCTGAAAAATAAGCAAAGCAAAAAAAGGGCTGGGAGTATGGCTCAAGTGAAAGAGTGCCTGCCTCACAAGCACGAGGACCCATGTTCAAATTCCAGTACCACCAAAACAAAAACAAACAAACAAATGCAGGTCATCTTTGTATGTATTTGAAAGTGCATTGCTGAGCATGCTTGCCTGGGAGAAGAAATCATCCCATGCTCAGATTCATTTGGGGAAAGGTGGTAGTGAAGAGGGCAAAACTGAAGGCAGCCATTTCCCCATTGCATAGGCGTGTGTAACCCTGGGTGCATTACTTCTGAGAACGGTTGACCCCTGCCCTCCTGATTCTGAAGTATTACTGCCTCATGATAGACAGCTGCTGGCTAGGTTTTGTTTGGGGGAAGCTGGGCTGAACCAGGTGGTGTTTGCTGAGAGAAAGGAACTTCCAGATTCATCCAGGCTGACTTGCTAAATGAGAGTGGCCTGAAGTTCAACAGAGGCTGTACAGTTAGGTACCCTTGCCTGTGTGACACACTAAGCACTGCCATGTGTCCGTGGCTCAGGCTGGCTCAGCCCTGTGGGCAGCCAGACAGCCAGACAGTGGCCTATCTAAGCTCAAGTGATTGAAAGAGATGTGCTTTTTCCCTGATCAAAGATGCTGTAGTAAGTTCACAAAATGAAGCCGCCTCTCCGAGTGTGCTTCATTTGGTCCCACTGATAGGCAGCCAGAATGCCCAGAGACAAAACACTTGTCTCCTTCCCCCAATCTCCATCATCACTTAGCTGGGTGTTTTCTAAGACCAAAGCCAGAGACAAGCTATGTTGCTTTAATGTTCCTTAGAATATTGACATATACGCATCCTGGTATTAATAGCACACGTTAGCCCTGTGAATTACCATAGAGGATCTCTCTCGGAAGTTTATGGAGGGAATGATAGGACTCTTACGGGGCTGGGTTTATCTGGTGTGGGATACAGCTTGAGACCACATGACTGAGCTGGCTTCAGTAGGGTTCATGTGGGACTCAGTGGCTTTTGTTCTCTTTCTCCTTGTCCTATGCCCAACCTCAACTCACACTGGTGTCTCATCTTCCTTCTACTACAGCGGCATTGAAGTTGCACATTGATTACGTTGGATTTTTTAAAAGTCTCAATACGTAGGCATGTTCCAGACCATTAAATCAAATTCTGCAAGTGGCACCCAGACACTGTATGTTTTTTTTAGAGTCAGGTGACACCAGTATTTGGTAAACGTTTCAAACCATTGTTGGAAGGGCTTTGTCGCTCTAGTATCTTGATTGCATCATTGGAATGTGGAGTTAAGGCTCTTTGGTGACCTTTTGAGAAAAGTCAGGAGCGACAGCCTTTGTCTTTTCTGTGGTCTTGTCTATTTTCTCTTCTGGGTATGAGAAACATAATTCCTGACATCTGTTCTACCAAGTTCTCTGCCAAGTGGTTGTCTGGTGCCCAAACTGATTAACTGAGATCTCAGCGGTAGTGGATGGATGTTGGATTGCCACCATCAGGAAGTGATGGCTGGAGCTTGTCAAGTGTATGCCTCACTGAATGACAATGGTGGTGACTACTGAGTTTGCTGCCAGGTGCCAGGCACATGGAGTTTTATACTCATTATTCTTCACTACAACCTTTTTGAGGTAGTTATTAACACCCTTATTTATAAAGAAAAACTGAGTTTCAGAGGGGATAAATAGCAGCTTGAGGTCCCTGAGCTAGAAAGGATTTGTATTCAAGCCTGCTTAACCTCAAGGCTTGTGTTTGTAATGTTTTTGGGCTACAAGAATGGCCTTGATGCATATGTATTTCATTTTCATCACCATTGTTATCCTAAAAGTTCCCTTTCTTGTTGCCCAATCAATCAAACTCACATTAAAAAGACCTTTTGATTATGGAAATTTAAAAAAACACAAAAAAGTATACATAATAGTATAATGAACCCATCACCATGAACCCATCACCAGCTTCAACAATGATTGATACCTGACCAATTCCGTTTCATCTTGGCCTCATTTTCATCTCCCATCCCAAACTGAATTGCTTCAAAGCAAATTCCCAGACAAAATATTTTTTTCTTCTCAAACAGACATTTGGAGCTCTACTGTGCTCTGGACTGTGTGCGTATGGCTATGGGAGATTAATAAAATGTCATGACCTCTGCCTTTAAGGACTTTACGTGAAGGAAAGATAAGACAAATGACAAAGTAACTATAAAAAAATCATAGGGCTGTGGAGTGGCTCAAGTGCTAAGAGTGCCTGCCCAGCAAGCATGAGGCCCTGAGCTAAAACCCCAGCTTGCCAAAAAAAAGAAAAGTCATGTATATGCAGCGTATTTCTAAAGCTCACAAGTCAGTTATTTGGAGTTCAGAAATCCTTCTTTTTGGTGAAAAAAGTATATACAAATTTAAGTTTTCTGACCATAATAAGTACCTTAAGCAAAACTGAAAGTAAATAACATGTATTAGCCTTAATGATAAAGAGCTAACCTTACATAAATAACTGTTAGAATTTGGAAAGAAAAAGAGCCTAGTAGAAAAGTGGTCAAGAGATATCAATAAGTAGCTCACATAATAATAATCAATAGCTAATAACTGAATTTGAGTGATGTCATCTTTCCTAGTTATTAAAGAAATAGGAATAAAATGATGATGGATCATTTTGCTTACCAATTTTATAAAAATTGGGTTGAGTGAGAGAAAAGGCTACCCTCCCTTGCTGTTGGGAAAGTAGTTTGGCACTTTTTACTGTGGATATTTTTGCAATGGGGCTCAAAAGTCCTTCATTGGGCCCGTATTTTACATCTGCAGTTCTACTTCTGTGAATTTTTTCTAAGTACATAATTAAACATATGTAAAAA